TTAAATGAACTACCATCATCTTTGCATTTTGCAGGACTAGCTTAATTCTATGGAATCTTAATATTGTTTTACCTTCTTTAAATGTATATGATATCACTTTACAACACCCAGCTGTGATACCTCCACTGACACTATTCTTATAACTATTTATTTCTACTCCATATATTGTCCGGTCTCCTAAGTGGCAGGCAGAATACCTTGAAAACTCTGATCTCACCTCCTTATCTTTCTACAGTAGCTTACAACAATTTATTAAAAGCAGCTTGGTGTAGGCTGTAACTAGAGTACAAATAGATTGGCCACTGGAAAATGCTAGGGTGGGAGAGAAGGCATGAGCCAATCAGCAAAGATGTACTAGATGGGTAGTGCAAAAGGGTAGAATCATTTATGCATATCAAGCTTGCACAGTTGTTTGGAAAAAAATATGAAGATAATACAGGAAAGAAGATTGAAAAAGTAGAGGAAAAGTTAGAAAGAGTTAAGAATGAGGTAATTTGTAACCGGTACAGGTACTCAGTTAATAGTTTTGTTTCATATTTTGTTTTAAATATTGTTTTGATACTTGGTTTCTTTTAAGTATCATTTGATACTTAGTATTGTTTTATATTTTATTTTAAGTATCATTTGATCCTTGGTTTTGATTTATGTTTTATATTAGGTATCACTTTAATACTTGGTTTAGTTTTATGTTTTACTTTAAGTATCGCTTTGATACTTGGTTTTGTTTTATGTTTTGATTTAAGTATCTCTTTGATACTTGGTTTTGTTTTATGTTTTAAGTATTATTTTGATACTTAAGTTGTTTTGCCAAAGTGTATCACCTGATACCTTTGATTAGTATTGTTGATCCTAGATATGAACAGATTTGTGTATTTAAAAACCACTGTAACGATCTTCCTTTGCATGATTAGTTCTTGGTGATGGGGAACGATACTTCTCTTCTTCTTTCTTCTTCTCACCTTACGATAGTATCAGGTCTCTGCCTACGTTACCAATAGTACAAGATCTTTGTCTTCTACTAGGAACGACTATTATAAGCTTTCTCTAACTCTTCTTTGTGAAGAACTTTCTCAGTGTAATAATAATAAAGGTCGTGATATTGATAAAGAGCGTAAAAGTATTTTATATTCGTTAAAGTAATAAATAGGAAAAGTACTTAGAACAAAGCATGAAGAACCTATCCTCCTTGGCTGTACTGGTGTAATGGGGGCTCTCTTTGGGAAGATGGATCCCAAGGTTGCGACTGCACCGAAATGAATTCTTCCGCAAAGTGAACAAATATAATAAATGTCAAAAGTCTCAACAGTAGAGTTTGAAGAAACAAAACGGTAAAACTTAATATCGTTAAGCCACAGCATTTACTTAATTAAGTCCTGATCTTAGGAAGTAGTTAATTGCCAGAATAGAGGAAAACTTGCATATACTTAAGTTGATTTTATATACTGCCAGTTGCTCCCCATCACTACTCTGTATTCGCGAGCACCCAACTCCCTTGAGCTGCCTAGCTAACCTCCACCGGTCGGACCAAAGATCCCCAATAGCTAACTAGACTACTCTTGTGATTTTCTAACATCCACCTGATAGAAGTATTTTAGCCGCTGTATCTATAATGCAACTGCAGGAGTAAAAACTCTTCATATCATGGACATCTTAGTGGTGAGCTGTCATGCCCAAGTAGATGCGATACCAATTATAGAACTCTCTACCCATATACACTTAGTCTTCTACAAGCATCCGCAGCTCCTGAACATCTATTCAGTTCTACTCTATTCCATATCATTCTGGATGATGGCCACTTAGCTCTCCCGATAGACCCCTTTGGATATTGACTACCAATAGGCACTACCCACAGTCAACCCTCCTAGAAACAGGTCTTATCGTAACCTTATACTATTGTCCCAGAGTCTCTAACGATTCTCTAAGACTATTACACTTTCAGGGCAACGGACTTCGGTTACCTTGCCTACTAGTCTTCAGTAACCTCACATACTACTTTAGACTTCAAAGTAGTATTACTCCGTCAGTTCTGGTCCGCTTTACACAAAACCACCTGGAGACTATTCTCCAGGTTCACCTCTACTCCCTCATATATCCTGTGGACAGCTTCTGGTCTATCAGACGGCAGGAATGTATACGGTATTACAGGAGCATCTCTACCTGAAGATATTTACTAGGCTTACAGCAACTCTCCAGGCTGTAGCCCATGATGCCAAGGACTTATAACAGGGCCGGAGGAGGGTGTTAGCCACTACACCTCTAAGTTACAGCCTGTCTGGAGCTCAACTGGTTGTGCGGGAGTGATCCGCACAATCTGAGATTCGAACATCCTATATAGTTTTGTGTGACAAAAAATCTAGTAACTTCCCCCGAAGTCTTGCATAACAAGTTACTTTCCAGGTAGGGTAACTTGGCTCCATAACAGGGTAACCCATAGCCCAAGGCAGGGTAACTTTAGTTCAAAGGTAGGGTAACTCTACCCAGACTTACCATTGAGTAATTCAGGGTAACTCCTAAATTGACTACTTAGATTACCCTACTGAGTAGGGTAACTACTGCTCCTTACTAGTACCCGTATACTTCTTAGTATAGTATAGTATGTCCAACCGAAGTACCTAACCAACTGTACCTCTAGCCGGTAGACTCTAGTCTACCACCATTCCTACCATGGTAGTCTCTTGATACCAGCATGGGTATAGGTTTGGTCAACTGTAATAGTACTCTGTGGAGTCTCATTATAACTGGCCATCTTATATAGTGTTCTTCTCACTCTAAGTCATGTAACCTAAAGTGGTCATATGCACAAAACCAAATCATAACAAACTAATCATATGACCAAAGTAGTCACATGCTCTAAATCCATGATCTTGTAGTAATGTCATATGCAAAAACTCATAAACTAATCATAACATAATAAACAAATCATATAACCCCAAGTAGTCACATGCATGAAACCCTTGACCTTGTAACGTGTTTGCTAGGTGCTAATTACGTTATCGGTAATGAATACAATAGTTGGCAGGTGGCCTGCTCTTCCGGAGAGGAGGCGAGAGCTGAGAACTAAAAGAGGCTTTGAGGGTGTACTGAGGAACAAAGAAGTAACCGTTCAACCAAGTATATTAAAATACTGTCTGTCAAAGTCTGCCTTTTCTATCATAGAAACAGGCGGTCTTTAAATACACAAATCTGTTCATATCTAGCATGAAGGAAAACTAATCAAAGGTATCAATCAATACACTTTGGTGAAACTAATTAAGTATTAAAGCGATACTTAAAACAAAACGTAAAACAAAACTAAGTATCAAATGATACTTAAAACAAAATATAAAACAAAACCAAGTATCAAACGATACTTAAAACAAAACATAAAACAAAACCAAGTATCAAACGATACTTAAAACAAAACATAAAACAAAGCCAAGTATCAAACGATACTTAAAACAAAACATAAAACAAAACCAAGTATCAAACGATACTTAAAACAAAACATAAAACAAAACCAAGTATCAAACGATACTTAAAACAAAATATAAAACAAAATCAATAACCGAGTACCCGTACCGGTTACAGACCTCATAATGAGGTCATGTGTGAAACATAAATCATATGTACAAGGCATACCCACAAGGCATACTTGCAAGGCGTACTTGCCAGGTGCGTGTCCTATAACTCATAATTAAGTCATGTGTAAGAAATAACAAATCATAACATAACAGGTCATATGACCTAAATAAGTCATATACACAAAACAATAACATACCTATGACTCATAATCATGAGTCATGTAAAAACCTTTTCTGTGCCAAGCCACATTCGTGACAACGGCCTGATTCCAAGATGGAAAAAGGTAGACTTTAACAGATAGTATTTCAATATACTTAGTTGAACAGTTACTTTTTAGTTTTTCCTGTATATCTTTGAAGCCTCCTTTAGTTCTCAGCTCTCACTCCCTCTCTAGCAGAGCAGGCCACTTGTCAAGCTATCGTACCTTTCACCGATAACATGGTTAGTACCTTGTGAACACGTTACACAATTCATTAGTGGAAAAGGATTTGGAAATCCATTTTCTAAGAATTTAGAAGGTCTAAATTGAAGCTGAAATAAGATTGTATTCAGAATTGAAGAGGTGGTGGAGAAATTGTATTTTAAACTCTATAAGTTCTTAAAAATCTGGTGTTGAGCCGAATCTTGTGTTGAGCTGTCGAGCACTCTCTTGAGAGTGCCCAAGGTTATGAAGCGACAGTGGGTTGTGGCCCTGCCACAACCTTGGCACGGTTAGTTAATTGCATCACCACTTACTTTTTTATTCACCCTCTAAAGTTTTTACCGGTCTCCACGATAATGTACTAGTACACTATCGTGAAGTGTCGGACGGCTGTGAAAAAAGATCGTCGGAGCGACCGAGGGAGAGAAGGTCCCCATCGAAGGGCTGTTCCGGTGGGCTTGTTGATGCTGACGAAAAGGTTGCAACGGTGCTTTGTATGACTGCAGCACGATTGGTGTGATATTGTTAGGACCATGACGATGTTTTGCGTGCGTCTGAGTAAATGGTAGAACGCTGCACTCCCAGCTCTGAAGAAGGAGCATTTGCGAGTGCCAACATCATAAGTTAAATTATTTTACCGGCACTGTACTCGAATACCATAACCCAATTGCCCCAAAAAACCGAGCAGCTTCTACGATACCGGTATTGTAACAATCCAAGCACTCGACTGGGGGCGCCGAGCGCCCCAACAGCCGTTTTGGGTAGAAGAACGCGGGCGAACACGAATCTTGTCCCGGGATGCTTGGTCTTCCGGTCCTGGCTTGGTCCGAAAGACCAGCTTTTTTCTCGATGGGGTTGGTCGATGGGTTGGGTTGGTGCATCCTGTATCATTGAAAAAAAAAAGGTGGATGGATATTGGCAACACAGCCTCAATTACCCCTTCCTTTCTGCTCCTCCCAAAAAGTCACAAATTCCAAATCTTTCCTCCTACCAGTAGATTTGCTGGCCAATAGGAGGCCCTTTTGGGAGCAACCCCCGTACTTTTTCCTGTCAATCAATCAGCTTTTTGCTCCTGCCGCTGCTCTACCTGCTACCACCTGCGACCATCACCGTTCCTCCGGCACCGCACCCACACAACACAGCAATCTTGCAACACAGCCCGCCTTCTTCTTCATCTCGCTACCTGTCCTGTCCTTTTCCGTCCTCTTACCCGCACAACACCCTCACAATTCAACAGCACAACCAAGTTCTACTCGTCCTTTTCTTCACCACCACCACCCTCTCGCTACCATCATCAACACCGTTAACTTGAACCTTCCATCGTTTTCTCCCTGTTAGCATTCATACAAGTAAATATTCCTGTTGACGCTTAACTGAAGCAGCTATCCTGTCGCTTCATCACAACCGCAGGCATAGCTAGATAGGAGAGAAGAAAAGTTGGGAATTAGCTTTTTCTACCTTTACCCTCCTGCTATCACGGACCAGTGAGCGAAAATCATCGCTACGAAAGGGCTTTCCTCGCCTCCACGCTTGAAATGTCACAACAGAATAATAACATGAGCAGAAACCGTTCGAGTTCATCCCTATCCTTCAACCAGGAGAACTCTTCCTTTAACGACATCGACGCCTTCATCGACTACGACGGCCCTAATTCGTTCATACCCTCTCCTACTCTGTCCCGATCCTCTTTCTCCTCGTCGCAGTCAAGTACCCCTTCCATGAACCAGAAGGTGACCAACAACAACCACTTGTCAGCTACAGGATTTCCCGCCCCGAGCCATCAATATGATCTTCACACCCAGCAAACGGGCTCGCTTCCCGTGAATTCTGGTTTTTATCCCGACTTTTTCCCCCCAGCTGCCTCCATGTCGGTTTCTCCCCATGAGAATAGCTTCATGCAACTCGACAACGACTCTTCTGCCTCGCTAAACGGCTCAAGCGGCATGATGCCAGCCTACTTTTACCCCGAGAGCACCACCACTGGGGATAGCTCGGCCAATTTTGTTAATCCTAGTTTGGTCTTGGGAACTTCACCGATAGCGATGGATAATTTAGAATCTTCGGTTAAGATCGAAGTTCCTACCGTTACGGTCCCTCCTGTCGGTCCTACTGCCCCTCCCATGGCTACCGCTGGTAGATTCTACGCTGGTATCCATCAACACCAAGCTGCCTACGAGCAACAGCAGAGAGCAATCAGGGAGCAGCAACAGAGGCAAGCACAGCAACAAGCCCCGCTATCCCAACAGCAACAGCTTAAGGTTGCCCCGAAGAGTAATGTCGATGAACGTGTAGATAAAATCTTGACTTCTATGAAGAGCAATGCCCCCCATCCCTCCGCCAATGGAACGCCCCCCGTTTTACCCCACATTGCCAAACTCAAGAAGGAGGAGGATGAAATGGATGAGGATGAACGTCTACTTGCTAGTGAGGAAGGGAAGAAGTTGACCAGCAAGGAGAGGAGGCAACTCAGAAACAAGGTTTCTGCCCGTGCTTTCAGAAGCAGAAGAAAGGGTAATACCATTGATCCTCGGATTAGTCTGCCCGCATCTACTTACTTTTTTTTTTTAGAATACATCACCCATTTGGAGCAGGAAGTTGCTACCAAGACAAACGAAGCTACCGATCTTCAACATGAGAATACCAGACTCAAGGAGGAGAACAACAAACTTAGTGAACTCACTAGGATGCTCTTAAGCTCTCCTGCGTTTTCAGTGTTTTTGGATGCTATGCAACCGGCCGCCCAGAACGATACTTTGGAGCAGGTCCCCAATGCCACCACCGCACCGGAACCAAAGACTGCTCCATCCAACACCGATGCTTCCCTTCGCCCTAATACCCGCAAGGACGTTAATCCTAACCTTGTCCCAGTTTCCGAGGATTCTGAGTGGCCTTTGGCGTACAACACCTGGGGAACCAACTCGCCGCAGGTGTTTAGTGTTCTCGAACTTCCACAAGGCCCCCCAAGCATCCAGGATTTGAGTGGAAAGGTTGTTGAGGATGAGGACTGGAAGTTGAGTTCCCTTCCTGTTGCCGATGGGTTCTTCCCCATCCGCAACGAGAAGGCTGGTATCATGGACCACTTCGATGAGGACGAGTATGAGGCACCAGAGGATCTCTTTGATGTTTACGAGGAAGAGATGCAGTACAATACTAGGGAAGAGACTGAGGTTGACGAGAAGAAAACTTTGGACGAACTGTTCCCTGGAACCGGTGTCGAGGCTTTGCTCGAACGTTTGGAAATGATTGCAGGGGGTCAGGCCCAACCAGAGGATCTCTTTGAAGAGGTCGCTGTGGAAAAATCTCTGGAGATTGTCGAGGAGAAGAGCGAGGAAATCGAGGAGAGCACATTGGGAGAAGCAAACAGGATGTTGGATGCTGCTGAGGGTATCTACAGAAGGATCGGGTTGGTTGTTGGCGGCCAGTAAACGTTATGGAGATCTGTCAAAGCCTTCATATACATTGTACCATGTCAAACTTGCTGCTCTTGATCTTTCTCGCTTGAGCATTGGCTGGTAGGTCTTGGAGTTTAGGTGGTTGGGAATTACACGACTTTAGACGCACGGGAGTTTTCATCGACCTCAGTTGCTGTTTTGATATTATTTTTACCTCCCTCCAACCAAGCTTTGTTTCCACCTTATATCAGCCCTGTATTTTTTTGTGTTCCTTTTTCTCTTTCCTTTCTATATGACAGAATGTTCGTACGAGTCTCGCCTCACCCTCATGATACCTTTCCCCTCATATCGTCTCAATTTCCTTCCAACTGTTTCTGTTTCATCCAAACAGTGACGGCCGGACCTTGACCTGTGTCTATTCATTCCAAAAAACCCCATTTTCCTCACATCCTGGTGCAATCCATATCACCTATTTTTTTTTTTTCCCATTTCTTACTGTTTTATACCTTACCTTACCAACTTTATTTTATTCCTTTTCTTCCCCCACTTCCCTCAACCTTGTCTTTTTTCTTTCTTTTTTTTTTTTTTATCATCAGCATTTCATTTGTAAACGGGTATTCGCGTTTTTTCTTATTGGTGTGTTTTTGGACGGGATTTTGTCTTTTTCATTCACTTGTTTACCTATATTTTCTCTCCTTTTTTCCTCTCATTTCTCCTGGATCACTGTTTTAGCTTTTTAGGTTCGCTTGCTTTGGAGTGGGAAAACGCGGAGTACGCGGGCAGGCAGGGGAGAAATAGAATTCAATCAAAATGAAGGAATTCAATATGCCTTTTTTTCTTTCTTTTTATTCTTCCGCCTATGCCTACCACACTACCGTACCGGTATTATCATAAAGTACTTGCTTGTTTTTTTTTTTCTGTGTGGAGTGCAGTGCTCGTGCGCTCCTTCATTTGGCTCGCCTCCGCTCTTTTGCACTTCCGCATGGGTGAAGGGGAAGGTAATTATGATACGTGGAATTCTTAAACTTAACGTGGAGAAGGGGGGGGGGTGCGTAAGCTCTCTTTCGTTCCTTCTTCTAGGGTTGTTTTTATGCAATAGTACCCCACTATTTTATTTTTTTACCGCACAATACTGTGGGCGCGGAATGGCGGGGAACGGGGGAGAATACGAGGCTTCGGGAGAGGACAAGCACCGTAGACTACCAGCAAAAGGTAACTAGAACTGAGTGAGTGAGTCAGTCGGACTGTTGTACTTGTAGGAATCGAGTAGACGGAAGGATTAGTGATCCACCGAGGGACTAGAAACACGGGTAGTTAAGCATGGAAAGGAACCCGGGAACACGAGTGATTATGTATGACGGTGATGGTGACTGTGCCGTAGTCTAACGCGGGGAATTTTCACTCTCCTCTATGTATGATAAAATACCCTCCTGCTATGACACTTTATCACTCCTCACATTGTCGAAGCACTTTATTCAGTTTTCATTCCATTTTGCACCTAGCCAAGTCGGAAAGCCTCCCCTCCTATCACTTTGATAGCATGGGGCTGAGTTTTTTTTCTTTTACCCTTCGAAGCGGGGGCGGACAGTAGCTGAACTCCGAAGTGAAAAGGTTTCGGTTGGGTGTGTTGAGCGGATGGATGTACAGTACTATATGTATGTACGGATTTCGGTACCGCTCCGGAGTTTGTGTATTCCCGGGCTCCGGTTCGGGTGGTACCGCACGTAGCATTACCGATAATTTTAAGTCCAAAACTTTTTACTTTGCTGTCCGTACGATATATTGATGCAATGCTTTTTTTTTTTTTTTTTTCAAATTGGCGAAAGCCTTCGCCCCCCCCCCCCCCCCCCCCTGCCTATTTCTACGAAAAGGGTTGTGGATTCTTGGCGTGCGGGTTTTTTTTATCCACTTATGGAACCGGTTATTCCCATCAACCCGTATAGTACGTTATCGCTGTACAGTACAGTAGTCTGTCATATCTCCGCACGAAATTTCTTAATCTCCGTCCGTCGGCCCGCGATTGGCGGGGGGGTTTTGGTTTAATGGATACCGACGCACGAACAACACGTACGATACTATACGATACCGGTATGATGCTCAGCGCAACTCGGTGGGGGTCCTCGATTGTGATGAGAAATACTATACCATACCGGTACATGCACGGCGCACTTCCTGTACTAGTACTGTACTGCGGGAGGCGATTGTGACGTCTTACCGTAGCGCATTTCCCTTGTATTCGAGTATATGTCATACGGTACTGTACAAGTACTTAGGGTAGCATGGTAATTGTGGGGAATGGTGATCATGGGTGGTCACTCGGGAATGTGTTTCTGGCTCTTGTGATAATCGGGATAGATTGTATCTTCTTAGTGACCTACCCGGTATACGTACTTTTCAGGTGGGATAAACGGGGTCCTTTAAATACATAATAAATCTTTCAGATATTTCATACTACGACATATATAGACATCTCTATGACACAACCTGTGGTAGGCTGGATGTCAGTATCCAACGGTTTTGCTTCTCTCTCGCTCCTCTCTCGTTTCCAGTGTTTGGATACGGTGATTGCTGTGGCATTTACTATACAAATATTAACCCCTTCCACCCGCTTAGCCGTTATTGTTTACTAAATAATATGAATATGAAATGGTAAAAAAAGAAAAAAGTGTGAACCAAACAAAATCCGTCCAGCGTGATCTACTCTATATTGCCACTGTACAATTACCTTGCCGTCCAAACCGGAATAAAACAGACGAAGTAAAGACTAACCAACTAATAGCTATCATTCAACTCATACCACCAATAACCCCACAATCCCACAAACCGCAACAGCCCACCCCTTCCAGACACGGAGCTCACTCGCGGCACCGGGAGCAGGCGTAGTAGTCGGTACTGCCCCATCGTTAGTATTATCCCCAGGAATTAGGTTACCAAGACCGGTACCTGAACCACTTCCACTCCCGCTCCCGGTTCCAGTCCCGGTGGACGAATTCGACCCCCCAGAACCCGCAGCGCCGGTCGGCACACCGGTCAACGCGACCGATGAGGCAGCAGATTTATACGCGGCGATGGTACGATCCCCCGACGCGGGCGGGTTAATGACGCCCGCCATCCCACCCTGACAATGCTTGCCGGTAGCGCAATAGAACCACATCGGCCTGTCATCCCTGACGACGATGGAGAAGACGGGCATTCTGGTGCTAGACGCGGACACTGGCATGAAGCCGGACCAGAAGGGCGTGGAGCCATTGGCCTGCGCGAGGGGTTCGCAGGGCTTATCGAAGGAGGATTGGGCTAACGAATGGTTCTATTTTCGTCAGCTCTCGTGTGAGCTCAAAGAGGGAGGGGAAGGGGGAGCGTACTTGGGGGTAGAATTGGAATTGCACCATGTCACCGACACTGGCTCTCACGGTCTCTGGGTAGAACTTTAGCGCGCCGGATACATCTCCGACTTGGATTACATGCTGTTTTACGCTCCCACTTGGAGTTGGTGGGTCATTGGATACGCTGGACTGAGCGTTTGAGAGGAGGGCGAGGGTGCTTGCTAGGAGGGCGGTTTTGAATAGCATTTTCGGGGGGGGTTTTTTTTTTCTTTCCTTGTTCTGTATTAGGTTTGGATGGAAGGATTGATATGAGCCGTTTGTAAAGAGTAAAGTAGACTAGGCTTGCACGGAATAAGGAAACAAATTTCAAAAGATTGTTTGGATTTCTTGAAGAAGTGAATGCGACTAGCGCTACCGAACTTGCCGGTTTGGTATGAAAAGGAAGGGAAGAGAAGAGAAAGAAAAAAAGGAGATGGGTGGACGAAGAGACGAGTGGTGGGAGAAAGTGAGGAAAACAGAAGGGAAAACAAAGAGTTTGAGGAAGATATCCTACACTTATAACATTTCTGGATGGAGAAACGGGAAGAACAAAATCCCCGGGAATAAAGGAGAGCTCCCCTTGAAGGGGTTTGGAACTTTCTTTTTTAGGGGGGAGGAAAAAACTTTGCACGGAACGGGTAGGTATGTACTCGAGTAGGTGTTATGGCCTTCCTCCCCTATTGCACTCTGAAGCAATCGAAGAATCATGTAGTGATACAGGTCTCAACGGCATGTTCTTTCAAACCCTGGGGGGCTATACATCGCTGTGCAGTGGGGTAGCGCTATAAGTACAAGTAGAGTACAAATAACCCGGTAATCCGCAAAGATCTGTGGGGCCCTTTCCCCTCTCCTTGGAAGGGGGAGAGAATATGGAGAAGGGGGGGTTCAGTCGTTCACGGCCATGATCGTGATTGTGCGTGAGGAATGTATTGTGGCTTGTCCGGTAAGCAAGGTGCGATGCCCGGGCGACTGTCATAACCACAGTCCAGAAGGGGCGGGGGCGGGGGGAGGTTCATCGCAGTGAGAGAAGGGGGGAAGGTTGGTGGTTGCAAGCACCAATTGTACATAATGGTGTTGTAGCTTTAGGTAGCTACGCTTAACCTAAACGAGAATTCCAACAATTTTAGCCCGGTTAGGGGATGTTTGATGTCCGTATCAGGCTCGAGTGGTTGTCTGGAAAAACCCTGCATTACTGCCCAAGCGAGCGCTCCATGGCCTCAGGTGCGGAGTTTGGTTGGGTTGATTCCCGTGTCGTTTCAGGATGGGATGTCCTTCCCCTATCGAACGAAGCCCTTCCTGCATAGCTAACTTGACGTTCGAGTGTCTTTTCCCTGCTAGGTACGATCTACCGTATTCTGCCTGCTCTTGCTCACGAAACGAGCGTCTCTTTACTGTCGGACCAACGCTTTTATAGAAATGGGTTTCCTGTCTATCGTTCCCACTACAAGTACCAAACGGATCTACTGGGAATTATACAGTATTTATTTAATACGAGCGCTGTTTTGGAGGTTGCTATTAGGCACATGTTCTAACCTCACTGAACCGCTGGAGCATGGTACAGTACGGGCACTATTGGATCAGCAGGGATACGAATCTAACGCCAACCCCCTACTTGAGTACGAGTACTCGTACTGGTATTTTTGAATGAATCCCGGTTGTAAAACTCTTACAGTCGCATGTCGAGCCCGCGCACGAGTCCAGCGTCAAACAGAGCGACATGTACGAGTACTCGAGTATGATAGTAGAGAAGGTTGTCTGCCGCTGAAGCCCCAAGGTTGTTGACCTGAGGGGTAGGGCGGCCCCGGTCAAGTATGATACCACCACCGTACATGTACCGCCGCACAAGTCGATGCTGTCACAAAAAAATGACAGGGCGGGACGGCACAGAGGTCATGAACCATACCGGTATGATACAGTTATGATCAACAAGTCTGTACCGGGTATCAAGGGTAAGTCTGTCGAACTCACAATAATTGGCTAGTATATGTTCCACCAACAGTGAACAAGCAAGTGCCACTTGTCCACTCTTACATAATCAAATATACATCATTTTTATCATAGATGGCTACCGTAACTGTGACCAAAACTGAGATACTGAGCATACAAAGTATATTCACTTGGATAAACTAAAGCAAATATGAAGAATAAGGGACAACAAGCAGATCTCATACCCACTAGCGCATGTGCAAAGAATCTAGAAACAACTTGAGATGAAAGAATATGGATCCTAGTCTTCTAAAACAAAGCCAATATGACTTGGAAGGTTAGCGACCTCCTATTATTGACTATGTTTTGAAGGTTAATGATATTAGGCAATTGGTAAATGGGTAGATTGAAATTTTAGAACCTGTCAGAAAATCTACAAACGTGCCAAGGAGCATGGTATGCCTTCAAACTGACAAAGATCAGGCTGTCCAGTTATCTTTGATGCTGAAGAAAAGGAACAACTGTGGACTTTTATTACACAGGATAAAAGAACTTGCTGGTTGCAGTAGGAAGAAGTGATACTTGAGCTTGGCTATTATTGCTCTACTCAGATAGCGTGAGAAGTGATGGTATCAATGGAGTATAACAAGGGATTACCTTGTAAGAAGTAAGTGGCTGTATCCTACTCCTGCTGTATTTGTTTACTTTTAATAGAAGATAACTTTACAAGTCACTCACCGGACACTTTCATGCATGAAAACTGACCTACTCGGATGAGCAAATTTGAATAGGAAACCTTTCCCTGGTCCTATAAGAATTCAAATAATTGAATATTATGCTAGAACATTAAAGTTACCTCTACTAGTAAGTTTTGACCATTTTCTTTCTTTTATTTTAAGCTTTGGCTGTGGGGTAGAGCTATTACTACTAGTATCCACTTGTCTGAGCTTCAATTAAAAGAAAAAAAATAGTCAAAACTTACCAGTAGAGACAACTTCAATATTCTGGCATGATGTTTAACTGTTTGAGTTCTTATAGTACTATGGAAAGGCTTCCTGTTTAAGTTTTACTGTCTGGGCACTAGACAAGTTAGCTGAGTAGGAGAAGTGCTTGAGTAACTAGTAGTGTTTTAAAAATTATAATTCAAAGCTTTAATTTCATTGATACTAATATATAAAAATACTTAGGTGGCGAATCTGGAGCTACAATAAACTCAAGAGAGTAGTTTGATGTTAGGAGCAGTTAGATTGGACCAAGGAAGAGTAGATATGGGTTGTCTGAACAGATGAGTTAATGTTTAGCACCGCTGGTTTCCACAATTGTCCTTGGATTACAAGATGGCTGGAGGAGGAGGAGTATTAGGAAGATTGCATTGATCATATTTGAGAGTCTGGACAGAAGAGAGTTATGGTATAGTGAGCTTTTTGTAGCAGCCTTAAGTCTTCACTATATATAGTACTCCTGAGTACTACTGTCAACTCAGTCAGGTATACTACCAATGTTCTAGAGTCCTTATTTATTCCATTCTGACATGAGGTATGTGAGGAATATGAGTGGGCATAGATATTAGAGGACAATGCTCCAGGTTATAAAAGATTTGCTATTGCTTCACGGATAAGATATGGAGTTGATAGTATTGACTGGCCACCTAAATCTCCTAATTTAAATCTTATTGAGGCACTTTGAGCAGAAATAGAAACTGAATTGGGGCAGATACATGAGAGGGCACAGGATGTAGATAGTTTAGTTCTTATACTTTAAGCTGCTTGGAAGAGTATTATCCTAGAATGGCTCTCAAGGTGTAACAAGATTCCACGGAGTACTATTACAGTTAATCAAACCTATACCCATACCGGTATCAAAAGACTACCGTAGTAGGAATGGTGGTAGACTAGAGTCTACTGGCTAGAGGTACTATTGGTTAGGTACCTCAGTTGGGCATACTATACCATACTAAGAAGTATACGGGTACTAGTAAAGAGTGGTAGTTACCCTACTTAGTAGGGTAACCTAAGTAGTCAATTTGGGAGTTACTCTGAATTACTCGATGGTGAGTCTAGATAGAGTTACTTTACCTTCAGACTAAAGTTATCCTGCCTTGGGCTATGGGTTACGCTGTTATAGAACTAAGTTACCCTACCTGGAAAGTAACTTGTTACGCAAGACTTCGGGGGAAGTTACTAGATTGTTTGTCACATGAAACTACATAGAGTGTTCGAATCTCAGGTTGTACGGATCACTCCCGCACAACCAGTTAAGCTCTGGACAGGCTGTAGTTTGGAGGTGTAGTGGCTAACACCCCCCTCCTACCCTGTTATAAGTCCCTGGTGTCATGGGCTACAGTCTGGAGAGTTGCTGTAAGCCTAGTAAATGTCTTCAGATGGAGATGCTCCTGTAATACCGTATACATTCCCACCGTCCGTTCGACTGGAAGCTGTCCGCAGGATATATGAGGGAGTAGAAGTGAACCTGGAGAATGGTCTCCAGGTAGTCTCTTGTAAAATGGATCAGAACTGATGGAGTAATACTACTTTGAAGTCTAAAGTAGTATGTGAGGTTACCGAAGGCTAGTAGGCAAGGTAACCGAAGTCCGTTGCCCTGAAAGTGTAATAGTATTTGATAATTGTTAGGGACTCTGAGACACTAGTCTAAGGTCAAGATAAGATCTCTTTCTAGGAGGGTTGACTGTGGGTAGCACCTATTGGTAGTCAACATCCGAAAGGGTCCATTGGAGGAGCTATGTGGCCATTATCTGGAATGATATGGAATAGAGTAGAACCAGATAAATTTTCAGGGGCTGCGGATGATTGTAGAAGACTAAGTGTATATGGGTAGAGAGTTCCATAGTTGGTATCACATCTACTCGGGCATGGCAGCTTGCAACTGACATGTCCACAATATGAAGAGTTTTTACTCCTGTGGTTGCATTGTAAATGCAGTGGCTAAAATACTTCTATCGAGTAGATGTTAGCAAACTACAAGAGTAGTCTAGTTCGCTATGGGGAATCTTTGGTCCGACTTGTGTAGGTTAGCTAGGTAGCCCAAAGAGGTTGGGTGCTCGTGAATACAGAGTCGTGATGGGGAGCAACTGGCAGTATATGAAATCTACTTAACTATATGCGAGTTCTCCTCTACTCTGGCAATCAACTACCTCTTGAGATCAGGACTTAATTAAGTAAAATCTGTGGCTTAACGATATTAAGTTTTACTGTTTTGTTTCTTCAAACTCTACTATTGAGATTGTTGACATTTATTATATTTGTTCACTTTCACAGAAGAAT